AACAACAACATTGACAGCCCAGGCTCTATTACTGCCATTTTGCTGTGTTTCTTTTTCTGTTGTTTGTAATTACTATGGTCCATCTGCTTTCCTTTGGTGTCTGTGTAAAAGACTTTCTCTAGAATTTCTTGTAGAGTTGGTCTTATTTTCACAAATTCCTTAAGTTTCTGCTTTTCTACAAATGATCTGATTTCTCCTTCATAGTTGATGGACAGCTTTGCTGGGTACAGTATCTTTGGCTAGCAATTGCTTTCTTTCAACTTTCTGTATATGCCCTCTCATTGTCTTCTTTTTTAAAAAAAATTTTTTTTACTAATGCTTTTATTCATTGTTGAACATTTTCTTATCTCCCTCCCCTCCCCTTCCCTTAACCAACTCACAGTTCACCCCTTGCTTCAGACTGTTGTCATACATATAATGCATCTGTTCCAATGCAGTGTTCATTATCTAGTCATTTTTACCTATTGTCTCTCCAACCCCTTCCATGTCTGTCTTAGTTTGTAACATCAGTGTTAGTTCTTTTGTGACGGTGATATTTCACTTGGCCTCCAGGCTCCCCCATGTTGTGTAATGTTTTACAAGTTCATTGTTATTCAGTGCTGCATAATATTCCGTTACGTGAATGTATCATAGTTTTTCTACCCATTCGTTTGTTGATGGGCACTTGGGTTGCATCCATCTCTTTGCTGTTGTGAATAGCAATAAACATGGTTCTTGTTTCTTTAGGGTATGTTCCCTGTATTAGAAGTGCTGAGTCAAATGGTATGCCTATTTCCAACTTTTTGAGAAAGTGCCGCACCACTTTCCATAGTGAGTATACCATTTTACATTCCCACCAGCAGTGAATAAGGTTTTTAATCAATCCACAACTTTATTTGTTGATTACTATCCTGGTGAACTTTGCTATTGTTGCTGAGGTAAGATGATATTTCATAGTTACATTGATTTGCATCTCTATAATAGCTAGGCATTTTGAACATTTCTTCATGTGTTTGCCATCTGAATGTCTTCTTTGATGAAGTGTCTATTCATATATTGTGTCATTTTTTGATTGAGTTGTTTACCTTTTTCTTGTTGAGGTGCTAGAATATTCTATACATTTTAGATATAAATCCCTTAACAAATATGTGATTGTTAAATATTTTACCTATTCTGGGGGTTTCTTTTTTACCCTATTGGAGAAGTTTTTTGATGATCATAGGGATTTGATTCTTAGAAGATCCCATTCACATATTTTATACTCTCCTGGTTGCAGGTCTCATTGTCTTATTGTTCTAATGGTTTCTGCTGAGAAATCAGAACGTAATTTCGTTGATTTTTCTTTGTAGGTGACTCTTTGTTTTTCTTGAGCTGCTTTTAGTATTTTATCCTTATCTTTTATTTTGGAGAATTTTACTATTATATGATTGATGTTTTTCTTTTGGGATCTCATCTGTTTGGGATTCACTGAACTTATTTAATGTGGATTTCCTCATTTTTCATAATACCCAGGAAGTTTTATTCTAGTACTTCTTCCACAATTTTTTCAGTGCTTTCCCTGTCCCCCTCATGTTCTGGAACTCTAACCAGGAATATGCTGTTCCTTTTGATGTTATCTCACTTGATTCTAGTGTTTTCTTCCATTTCCTTCCTTCTCCTCTCTGTTTTTCCCTCTAGTATGTATGTTCCCATGGAGTTCCTCTAGTATGTATGTTCCCATGGAGTTCCTCTAGTATGTATGTTCCCATGGAGTTCTTGTCTTTCAGCTCACTGACTCTCTGTTTCATCTCTCCTGTTCTGATTTCTTGTCCCTCCACATGTTGGAAACTTCTGCCATCTCAGTCTTGATATTCTGAATTGCATTTTCATGCATTTCTGTTATTTCCAGTGTGGTGTTGGCTGTATTCTATCTGTTTTGTGATGATTTTTTTAAAGTTCTTTTACCTCTTTATCTATAGTTTCAATTCTTTCCTCCACCATTTGCAATTTCTTCAGTAGTTGTTCATATTGTTCTACATTGATAGATATTTCCCTGTCTCTGGAGTATTTGCTTTCTTTATGGCTTCAATTCTCTCTTCCATCATTATCATTTGGCCCTTCTTCTGCAGCTGTTCATGGAACTTCACATCAATACATTTCTTCTGCTTTCCTGTCTCTGGGGTATTTGTTTTATTTATGAATTCCATTTTTTCTTCTATTATTTATACCTTCTTTGGTAGCTGCTCATATAACTCCACAATATATTTCTTCTGTCTCTCTATCTCTAGGTTACTCATTGGTCTACAATATACTCTCCTTGTGTAGGAAAAGGCTTATTTTGGGGGAGTTCACACATACACACACACACAAACACACACGATGTTTGATGTTGTCCACTGCTTTCTTGGCATGTGACTTTTTTCTTGGAATATAGAGGGCTGTTTCTATTGTGTCTGCATAGGTTATTGATAGTTCCTCATCTTTATGATGCTATTGATTTGTTGCAGACTTAAAGTGTTCCCTTAAGGGAGAGGGTAACAACAAAGAGGGAACTAGGAGTCCTTTCTGGTCCTGTGCAATGAGGAAGCTTGCCTTTCCTGAATTCCTTCAGCTTCTCTCTGGTCTGCAGTGGGAGAATCTCACCTGAGTGCTACTCACCTCTACTAAAGTTCGTAACTGTTTTTTGTGGACCTCATTGTGGGCTAAGACCAGGATAACCTGCTGCACTCTCTCTATCCAGATTGTAGGAAAGTGGCCAGGGCCAGGCACCTCTATGCAAACACCCTCTCATGTTCCTTGTAGCCTGGTAGGAATCTCTCCTGCTTGCACCCTCATCTTCTAAAGTTTGTAATTGTCCTCAGTGGTGCTGGAATACCATGCAGCTGGAGACCAGCCTTCCTTTGGCTGCTGTACTTTTCCTATGGACTCAGTTTATTGACAGTTATATTGCAGCCTCTCATTTTGAGTGATTCACTTTGGTTAGTAATATTCTCTGCATTTCCAACTCTTGCTTTCATCTGAGATTCACATTCTATTCCATTAAGTCTGTTTATCACTATCAGAGTCAGTCTAGCTCAGCATAAAGCAGAAGAAATATAACTGCATAGCTGACTGTAAGCCCAAAGACTCATAAGTAAAAGCTATTCCAACTCCAAAGTTTTGTTAATCCATCCAGAGGATCAATATGCATATTTCACCAAACTCAGTAGAAAGTATTCTATCTACATGCTATCAGAGGGGAAATGGCTAGGTCTCATTTAAGGAAATACTGTAACTCCATCTATGTACTTCCTTTCATTTTAAGAGCTATAAAGCTAAGGATTTGTATATGTATGTGTGTGTACTATTTGCCATGAGATTCAGAAAGTGATCAATACACATTCAGTAATGACTTCTCTGTGGTAATTATAATGATAATAAACAAAAATGTAAACCCACTGCCATTGAGCCATTGAGTTGATTGCAACTAATAGTAATAATAAGTTAATTTTTAGTAAGCATTTCTATGTCAGGCAATGACTCTCCTTAACATTGCCACTTATATCTTTCTGTAAATAATATTTAAACTTTCTTTAAATATTCATTCTAAATATTTTTTTAGGTGGTGGCTGGATGGAACTATGAAATTGCCTACTCAATTGCACAAACTAACTGCTCCAAGGGGAATTTTCTATTCTTAACTCCTGAGTGCACATCCATTCAAAATGGTGTAAGTATGCAAAAATCTAATTATAACATTCCTAGTATCTTGCTTACAGCTTTTTTCAGGCATGGAAACAACCATGCTGCATGAGAAGACTTCATCACTAACATTTTAAATGCCATTCAGCAATTTATAGTCACATTCACTTTTAATATTCAAGCTTTCTTACCTGAGTGTCAAATGACTGTTCAACTTGCAATAAGCGATTGTAGAATAGGATGAGGAAATGGGAACATTCTGGCTGGGACAAATAGTTAATGTGCTTGGCTGCTAACTCCAAGGTTAGAGGTTCAAGTCCACTCAGAGAGACACCTTAGAAGAAAGGTCTGCCCATCTGCTTGCAAAATAATCAACCATTGGGAGTGCTTTGGAATACAGTTATGCTTGGACACACATGGTCACCACAAGTCAGAGAAGACTGGACAGGAGCAGCTTAGCCAGTAGGAATACCTGAAGACAAAATGACAAAATAGTAAAGTTTATCTTTGTTATGTCTTCATACTTTCTTGTCCCTTTCTTTCCCCCAAATGTTCAATTTCTTTTAAATGTCCCTTAGAGCTAAGTCCATTTAGCCTGTGTTGATTTTTGACTCACAGTGACCCTATAGGACAGAGCAGAGCTGTCCCACCAGGTTACCAAGGCTCTAATCTTTACGGAAGCAAACTGACACACCTTTCTCCCAGGAAGCAGCTCCTGGCTCGAAATTGCCTATCTTTGGGTGCGCAGTGAGTGCTGAACCACTGAGCAACCGGGATGTCTTACACAAATCATGTTTCTAGCTCTTCTTTTCAAAAATTAGTTTTTTCATTATGTGATTTATCTCATTATCTCAAACTTGCAGAGTTTAAAAAAAACCAATGATCACAGACAATAGTACTATATTCCAAATTTTATTGAAGAATCCTCAGAATTTTGTTGTTATGTGTTGCATCTGCTCTGAGTTCCAGATGAATATTTCTTGTCAGTTTGAAGGATGCATCCTTGTTCTTTAATTAATCAGCTCTTTGGTTTGGTTTGCTGTTTTAATAAGGAATGAGTGCTGACTTTAACAAGAGCTTTAAAACATATACAGAAATATATTCTTACTTGATTAAGAGATTGTTTCTTTCAATTTTCCCATTAATAATAGTAAAACCTATTTGCTAATTATTGATTATTCTTTTAAAATTCATTTGGATTCTAGTCTTAGTTTACTTAAGGAATCTACATTTATGACTGAAAGCAGTACACAGAGTTTTCTGGATGCTAACTTTTCTGATCTGGGTACAAGATTACTATTTTGTAGAATTGGTAGTTTCTATGTCCATAAATGATTTCTAGAACATGGAAAGGGCATATTTCTTTTAACTTTAAAAATAAATTACCTATAAATCTGAGGGAGGAATAAAAACCACCCTGTAATATAAATAAACACCCTATAATATAAATTTAGAAGCAAGAGTGGCATCCACTTCCTAAATAACATGCCTCTGGAAACTCTATGAACTTTGATAAATGATGATAGGTAGAGGGGCTGCAAGTCTTTTGTTCATAAGGTCACTATGACTCATGCTCAACTCAAAGGCAATCAACAATATAAATTAATGAAATGTAATACAAATGAAGGAAATATATGAAATACAATGTATATACATGAAAGACAAAGTATATAAATGATAAAAATAATAATAAAAATATTTAAAAATTAATTACCTATAAAACAGCTTAGGTAGCTCTGGTGGCTTAGTAATAAGGCATTGTGCTGCTAATGCAAGGGCACAAGGTTCAAATCCACTGGCAACTCTGCAGGAGAAAGATGGCAGTCTCCTCCCTTGCAATGTATAGCCTCTGAAAACCTGCTGGAGGGTCGGCTGCAAGTTGAACTCAACTTGACAGTACATAGCCACCACTACCGCATAAAACTGCTTGGGCTTATTAGAAGTGAGAAATGGTATGAAAGTCCATTCTTGATGGCAATTTATTTTGTGTCATTTGAGAAATTATTTAAGGGAGTTCTGGAGGCCTAGTGCCAAGAAGCTGCACCACAGTCCTGAAGGCACACAGTTTGAAGCCACCAGATGCTCTGCTGGAGAAGGAGGGGCAATCTCTTCCTGTACCAGTCAGAAATGATTTGACGGTACATACACACACACACACACACACACACACACAAAGGAAATTATTTAAATAATTCATCTTTATTACATGAGGGAGTTCTGGTTGTGTTGTGTTATGTGTTTATTGTATTGAAAAGTTGGTGGTTTGAATCCATCAGCAACTTTGTGTATGAAAGATGGACAGTCTCCTTTTGTGAAGGACTGGACGGAGGGTAGCTATGAGCCAGAATTGACTTGACAATAATGGGTTGTTTGGTTTTTCAAATTACATTATTAAAATCTCTTCTATTCTTTTTTTATCCTCTTGGCTTGTCTTAAGTTTATAGTTGTATATAAAGTTTTCTCATCACAATCCTTCCAATTTCTAAATATATGTCTAATATTAATCTATTTTGATGCCGTTTATTTTAGACTGTACCTTTGAAAAATAAGTTATAACTTTTACTTCTTTTATAATTTTTTGTTACCTTTGAACTTTACTCTGCATTCTTTATTTTTCTTTATTTTTACTTGCTATGACTTTGTTCATCTTTTTTGGTTAAGCTTTCTTTATATTTTTATTATACATTTCCTAAGGTAGTAATAAACTAATGTTGGTTTTAATAATTTAAAAATTTTTTGCCTTGCTGGCATAGTCCAAAGGGAGGTGATGACTCTCTGGCAGTTCAACTCCACCAACAACTTTACAGGAGAAAAATGAGCAGTCTCCTCTAGTGCAATTTACAGCCTCTGAAAACCTCCTGGAAGGTCCGCTATGGGCCGGTCCCAACTCTATGGCACACAAACAACAAGAATGGCAACAATTCTTTCTTATTCTCTGTTACAGTTAGACTGTCTTTCTCCTTCCTCCCCCACCTCAATGCAATGATTGGGAAAGTAGATATGTTATGATTTTATAAGTTGTATCCTTTAAAGCTTCTCAAAAACATTGACATATTATGCATTCATGTATTTTTCAAAACCTAGGATAGTGGTGAATGTCGAGATCTTGCACATGTGGATACTCAGCTGAGAATTGTTTCCTTGTCACAGAACTGTGACCTCTATCCAGGTATGGGCTACCACATGCTGCTACTTCAGTAAGAACTGCTCGTTTTTGACAAATGGCTAGATATTTTCATATGACTCATTTTGCTTTCCATGGTATGCCACTACTGTTCAAATGACCCAAAGATAATATGTATTGCCTCCAGACAAAGCTGGCCTCTGGTACATCAGCCATCCTTGGGTATAATGGCCTCTAGAACAATGACAGCCATCCATCCTTGTGTGCAGTATGTGTCTCAATCAGGTGGTATAAATTGGGGAGATCTGCCTCTCCTTTTTAATGACTCAGAATAAAATTATTTCAGTCAAAGAGGGGAGGGTTTTCCCCTGCATATGGTAATAGGTAGAAGAAGGTGGGGTTTAACGGTACTTCTTAGAGTGAGTGGTTAGACAAGTAATCCATTCTTATCATCAATCAGGGTTGGCTTAACTCATCTGTGGAAGAACAATTGTGTACGTTGCATAATGTGAAGCATTCTGGACACTGGCTGTTCCCTTTAGAGTATGATTCTTTAATGAAAGCTAATGAGTTAAAACTTGCTCTTCATATATTGTTGTTAAGTGTCGTCGAGTCGTAGATGACTCATAGCGACCCTATGAACAAAAGACCTGAACACTTGTTTAACCTTCATTATTTCTCCAAGTTCACAGAGTTTCCAGAGGCAAGCTATTTTGGAAGTGGATGCCACTTCTGCTTCCAAGCTTGTTTTAATTGGGGAGTTCCACCAAACACTGTCCACCATGGGTAACCACTATAGCAATTGACACATTAGTGTCACAGTGTTTAGCATCACAGAAACCACGAGTTAGCTCTGTATAGAAAATAGACAGACTAGAACTATACCACTTAGAAGTATGTTCAACCAAAAACAATTAAAACCAGGCATGATGGCCACAGACTAAATTATCCACCTTTGGCTTTTCATATACTTTGCACTATAAATGCAAAAAACTTGGAAGTATAACAAGACTGAGTCATTGACAGTTTCCAATTGAATAGTCTTCCCTAAACAAAACACAGGGGGTTCAAAAAAGGGGAAGAGAATGGAAGCAGGAAGACAAAGGTCTAACAATCTTGTCTGACACACTACTGGTCTTAGGATTGCCACTCTGAAAATACGGTGGTTGTGGTATGTGCAAGAGACGAGGTAGGCTAAGTTGCTGTCTGTTCTGTATATGTACTGACTTTTAATCTGATTTGATTCATTCATTCATTTATTTATTTTAGCAGAGGAATTTGTACTTCCTAGGATTTGCCCTGGCTGTCCCAAGGAGATAGGGGCTGATGACCCAGGTCTACAGGAGGCTTTAGACCATTCCATCATAAAGCTTAATGCAGAAAATAATGCAACTTTCTATTTCAAGATGGACAGTGTGAAGAAGGCGACAGTACAGGTCTGTAAATGCTACTACAAAATAGCATACTGTAATCTATAAGCAATTGGTAACTAAACTTGGCACTAATCTTGGCTCTGGATTGGAAAACAACATGCCTGGTGAATCAGTGGGAGCTTTGAATTTCAAGTCCCAATGTCACCGCATGCTTGCTATGTAACAAGGCATTTAAAATATTCTTTCATTTTTCTACCCATTGAGGATCAAATGACTTATGTAAAGTGCTTTTTAAATCTTAAAATGCTATCTAAATATGGTGCTGCTGTAAGATACTGTCAAATTGACTCTAACTCTTAGTGTCTCCATGCATCACAGATAAAAACATAGCCTATGAATCCACCCAGATGCTCTGCTGACAAAGGGGGGGGTACAATCTCCTCCTGTGCCAGTCAGATCTGATTTGACAGTACCCACAGACACAAACACACACAATAATAAAAATAAAAACTTTTTTTAAACCCCAAAATATAGCCTGATCCTGTGTCATTCTCATAATCAAGCTACGTTTGAGTCCATTGTTGCTGTCACTGTACCAATCCATCTTTTTGAGTCTTTTTTTTTTCCTGGCCCTCCCTGTTGTCCTGAAGAAGGGAGTGGCTTCATCTGATAACGTATACAAAACAGGCACGATCAAGTCTCATCAGCCCTGATTTAAAGAGCAGTTTGTACAGATTTGTTTGTTCTTCTGGCATATCATTGTATAGATATTATTCTTCAACACCAAAATTCAAAAGCATCAACTCTTCTATATTATTGTCTACTATTGAACTGGAACTAATTCATAGCTGACCCTCCAGTGGGTTTTCAGAGGCTGAAAATTGCCCAGGAGGAGATTACACATCTTTGTCCTATATAACTGATTTCAAACTGTGTGTGCTTTGGTGATGGTAGTGCAGCTTCTTACCACTAGGCCACCAGAGCTTGCTATGGTAGCTTTATTCATTCATTGTCCAGCTTTTGCATACATATGTTGCTGTTGTTGTTAAGTGCCATCGAGCATGACTCATGAACAAACGATCTGAACCCTGTTCTATCCTGTGTCATCCTCACACTTCCTGACACACAAGAGCTAATTGCAGCAGTCACTATATCAATCTACCTGGTTGAGGGTCTTCCTCTCCTTCGCTGACCCTCCACCCTTCCTAGCATTGTGTACTTCTTCAAGGAATAGCACCTCTAGCAACATGCCCAAAGTATGTGCATGCATACGACATGATTTAAAATATCATTGCTTAGGTCAGGTGCATCTTAATTTTCAAAGTGACATCTTTCCTTTTTGAAAAAAAATGCTAGCAATTCTTTTTGTTTTTGTTTTTGTTGTTATGTGCCGTCAATTCTCTTGCAACCCTATGTATAACAGCCCTGAAATCTGCTCTACCTTGTGCCAACTTTACTGTCTCTGACACACCTACTCTCATTACCCCAGTCACTGTATCAATCTATCTCATCGATGGTCTCCCTCCCTTTCTCCATCCCTCCACCTTTCCAAGCAGAGTGTGCCTATCCAAGGACTGGTCCCTCCTTGCAACATGCCCAATATATGTTCAATGAAGCCTCAGAATCCTTGCTTCCAAGGAGCAGTCTGGCTTCACTCTCTCTAGGATGAACCTGTTTGTTCTCCTAGCAGTCCATGGTATATTCAACACTCTTCTCCAACACTACAGCTAAAGGGCATCAATTCCCTATCATCCCTAGGTCATTGTCCAGCTCTCTGATGCATAACAATCAATTGCAAAAACCATGGCCTGGATCAGGCACACCTTCGTCTACAGACTGATGTTGTTGCTATTCAGTACTCTGGAGAGGTCCTGGAAAGCAGACTTTCCCAGTGCAATTTGTCTCTTGATTTCCTGGCTTCTTGTACCAAGAGTGTTGCCACGCAACTATTATACAATGAATAAATTTAAGGTTAGTAAAAGCAAAGCTTATTCTTTCTAGACTTAATATTTCATTACAACATTACCTAGCATCTGAATACTGTACATGAATAAAGACAGAAGAATCAATGCCTTTGAATTGTGTTGTGGCAGAAGAGTACTGAATAGCTCATGTTCTGCCAATAGAACAAATAAATCTTAGAGACAGTGTAGCCAGGGTACTCCTTAGAGGCAAAGATGATGCTGCTCCACCTCACATACTTTGGATGTGTTAACAGGAGAGGCCCGTCCTTGAAAAAACAGTATCACGCTGGGAAATGTAGAGGGTCAGAGAAAAGAAAAGCCCTCAACAAGGTGGAGTTACACAACGACTGCAATAATAAGCTTCAGAATGTCAGAGATCTTAAGGATGGTATGGGATAGGTTCACCTCTGCTGTTCATAGGATCACTACGAGTCACAGTCCACCCGATGGCACATAAGAGTGTCGTGGATAGAGTCTTTGCACAAACTCTCCACATTATCTTACCCCCATGTCATTTCTCCCACAGCTTCCTCTGCCTGGATGCCCTTCCCTCCTATGAAAATTCTTGTGAGTTCAGGGGTTCCCAGAGTAATACTCAGACTTAACAATTCACAATAATTACAGAACTCACAGAAAACAATTGTACTTACGGTTACAGTTAATTGACAGTGAAATGATTCAGCTTGAATTCAGGAGACAGGAGACTTCCATTTGTAAAGCTTCCAGTTGTTCTCTGCCGGTAGAGTCACAGGACTGAATTCTTCCAACCGTGCAGTGTGACAGTACTCCCAGACTACTACCCGTCAGGGAAAAGTCTCCCAAGACTTAGTGTCCAGAACTTTTATTAGGTTTGATTGACATAATTGACCACGTAGGCAGGCTGATCCAAAGCTGCCCTCAAATATCAACACTGTTACTCCTCAGTGTGGCTCAAAACTTTCAGGTAAACAAACATCAGTCAGGATGTTCCAAGAACTCAGAGATTATCTCCCAGCGCCGAGGGCAAACACCAAACCTTTTTTTGGACAAAGTTCATTCTTTACTCTATAGTTCTGTATACGATTTGTCTCTGCTTCCGTGCTATGCCAAGAGGGTAATTACTGCCTTACTCGAAGCCTGGAAGGACCCAGCTCTACCACAACAGCTACCATTCACTTCTGGGTGAGCCCAGGAGGCCATTCAAACTCACACAGCCTTTGTGATCCCGACTGCAGAGTAAGTGCCAAAGTGGAAGAGTAAGTCTCTTCCAACTCCGTTATTTATAACCAAAGAATTAATGGGCAGAGTCTTCTATTAGAGATTCAAGACTTATTGCCTATTTTCTCTTCCGGTTGAGATCCATGAGCACCAAAGTCTCTCCTGACGTGCGGGAAGTCTCGCATGGGAACCTGTTCAAGCACAAAGTTTCTTTTTGGAAACGGTGGGTGGAGCTGCAGATCAGTTTGAAGAGCTACAACCCTCAGAAGGACAAAAGCTTTTTGGGGACCAAGGTGTGTGTGTGTGTGTGTGTGTGTGTGTGTGTGTGTGTGTGTGTGTGTTTGGGGATCAGCAGCACTGGGATGAAGACAAGAGCTGAAAATACTCACCTTGAGTAAGAAGCGGCTCATAATGCTACCCAAAGGGAGCTCTGGTGGCCTAGTGGCCAGAAGCTGCACTGCAAACTGAAGGCAAGCAGTTCAAATCCATCAGATGCTCTGCTGGAGAAAGAGGGTCAACTTCCTCCTGTGTCAATTGGATCCGATTCTACGGCACACAAGAAGAAAATAAATAAATAACTCTTAGAAAAAACACAAACAACACAAGAAGTAGGATGCCTTTTTGGTCTCTCTCTGAATCCCTGATCAAGCAGACATGGTCAAGTATTGGTTCTGAATTCAAAAGAACTACATTTGAATCCTGGTTCTGCCACATACTAGCTATGTAAAGTTGTTGTTGTTATGTGCCATCAAGTCGACTGTGACTCAATAGCTCTGATCCTTGATCTATCCCGAAGCTGTCACACTGTTTCTGACACACCTACTCTCATTATCCCAGTTATGTGTCAATTAATCTCAACCAGGGTCTTCTTCTCCTGCACCTTCCACCCTTCTCCAAGGACTGGTCACACCTGGTAACATGCCCAAAGCATGTGAGGCAAAGCTTTGAAATTCTTGCCTATGAACAGCAACTTGGTTTCACTTTTCTCTAGGGCACACCTGTTTGTTCTCTTGGTAGTCCTTGGAATGTTCAGTACACTTTTCCAGTACCACAACCCAAAGGCATCACACTTAAATTCTGTCTTTCATCTGTGATGAATGCAATTTTATCATATGCCATTAATTTTGTCCTGACCTTTCTTGGCTATCATCCCCAGAGCTGTCAATGTTTCTGTCCTGACTCTGCCCAGATAAATAACTTACAGAGTCTCTGTGGGCACATTCAGGAAGATTTTTTTTTCTTTGGCAAAGTTCTAGAAATGTCAAGGAATGTGTTTATCTGTAGGACTTTTATGCAAATTGAAAAAAAAAATTTGCAGTTATGTCTATATTTACATAAACTGAGCATGGAAACTGGTTGGAGATCTTGACTTGAACTCTCTTCTCTCTAGTAATAATTGAGGCTCATGTTTTCCCAAACTTGGACAACACTAGGTATCTTAACTTCACCTTAAAATTTCTGCCACCATAGAAGATTAAAAATTATGTTGCTATTTTTTAAAAAATGTTGGGTTTTGATGTTCATATCTTTGGTTATTAATGAAAGTAAACATTCTTCCAGCTTATCATGGTAACTCCTCCAAAATCTCTTCATGTTCTCTGCCCATTTTTTATCATTTATTTTGTTTGCTGGTGGTGAGAATACCAATTCAATAATTTTCACATTTACGCTTCCATAACATGGATTACATCCTTCTAGTTGAGCAACTGTTCTCAACCTCCTTAACTAAACTGATCTTCCCATGTTGGTAGAAACTCACCGGCCTCTACATCTCCTACTATTTCAAGTCACCGTTGTCCATTTGAACCATATAGATAGCTCTTAATGGAGCACAGTATTCAAGGCCTACTTTCTTTACTGGTTGAGCTAAACTATTGTTGGTTTTAACAAGACTTCAAGCGG